ATATCTGTGGTCGATGTACGGCAAGACTCTGTCACGTTTGGAGCTGCTTACAATAGCCTGAGAACTAAGTTGTTTTTAACATACTTGAATATACATGTACTACTTCGAAGCCATAGATATACATAGTTATATCGCACTAAAAAACTGCCCAGCGAGCTAATAATTAGTTACTTTAGACGCTCAAACACACGAACTACGTAAATATTTGCTTTAGACCTCAAACAAGCAATATCGATTCCGACCGATACGAAGAAACTTATCGGTGCAATAAACTTTGCAGCTGTTAGTGAAGTTCCAACAGTATTCATTATATAACGTAACGATAAATAACGATAACGTTTAATTTTGAAGAAATGGAATAGAACAGTAGTGCAGCCTTAATAATAACGACCTACGAATTGAAAAGGAATTTTAAATTATTCAACGTACAACATTTGCAAATGCACAAGTTTATTATAAATATAGATTCAAAATGGTTATAATAGTCGTCGCTATGTGTTCCAAACTCAATATTCCACGCAACATTAAAATTCTCTTGACTTTTCAAAACTCTTTTCTACTACTACTGGCTACTCTGGTTTCCACGTTTTATATTAATTGGTTTGTAATTTTTATACAAAAGAATGCGTTAAAGAATACTTGAAATAAAATCGTTATCATCTTAACTTCTTAAAAGGCTGGTGCTTAATCCTGCTTCTGAGAAGATGTCAATAATAAATTTGATGATGATAGATTAAAATGTTTTATTTATTTATCGCCACGTTATCGTTCATATAAAATGTTTATATGGACGATAACGTGGCAGAACGTCCCTATTCACGGTACCGCAATCTATATTACCAACGGGTTGTTCGGATTTGAGCCTTTTTTTTATTGCTTCCATGAATGGAGCCTCAACACAGTTCTATTTATTGAGCCCTTCATTTACTTCTGTTCATAAAATTGCAAATATTAACGATGTATATAAAATAGATATTTGATATCTCTTTAAAACACCAGCGCGATATTATACGCACTCCATAAAATTTTATACTACTTGTTGACTGTTAATCAACTTCTGAATATAAACATTAAATTTATTAGTAGATACATTCGATTGTTTTTTCTAATTTAACATTAACCTAGCATAGCATCCACTCCTCACGTTGATGTATTAAACTATCACATTTAGTTTTTACGTAAATAAAAAAATTGCAGTGCGCCGTAACACTTATGATTTGGGTGTATCTGGATTTTAACTAAATATATTAAATAGTTTCCTATTTTTAGATAAAATCCAGAAAGTGGCATTTTGGTACAGTGTCTATATAATCTAATCGGAGTGCAAATCTTTTTTTTTATGTGAGAAGATTGCATGCGAGCTGGTGGTTCACCTGATGTTAAGTGTTAACCGCCGTCCGTGAACATTTGCCACGACCGTGGAAAATAGAGTTGCACATGCGTTGCCACTTTTCAATAAAGAGGACCCCGGCTATCTCACTCACCAGGCGAAACGCAAAAGTTGTCAATAGTCTGTGAGGTCGTGGTTTTTACCCGGACGGACCTGCCCATTCTTGCAACAGCCAAAGCTCTTGCGTGAACCTACCACAGTGATTTATTTTGCACCAATCAGCGATTGTGATTCCACAATCGCTGATTGGTGCAAAATGGGATTTATTTCGTCCGTATTTCTGAATAGAAATAAATCCCATTTTACTGGCAGAGCAAAACCATTCGCATTTGCTTGAGGCTGTACCTCTCCGATACTCAAACGACGAAAATATTTTTAAAATTTTAGTCAAAGGTTCATACTTCAACTCTACCATTCCGAAGTCTACAAAATAGGGCAGCTACAGAAAATAGCTACGATCGGCCTCTACAATCATCAACCATTAAGCCCTACCACACCAGATCTATTCTACGTCATTATAACTACATATACCGTAATAACAGTAAACGTGCTCCATCCGCCATTATGCCACGCGGCTACATCTCGCATTCCCAACGGACGCGAACCCGTAATGCTTTGATCAAACATTCGATGGACGCGGCTTCAGCAATTAGCACACCCACGATAATTCTGTTAGCATTGCACTAGGCAAGGCTACGTCGGAAATTGGTACCGAAAAAACTCTATCTTTCCTTTCTCAGGCATCTCTACCTAACACTGCATTAAGTTAAAATTTAACAAACTATGAGTTTCCTCGCTCTGTGACTGCTTAGAAATAAAATAAAATATTCATGTGGACCTCTTATTTGAATACTCTTATTACCTATCAACCGGTGTCAAACATTTAACAAAAATATTTTGTCAAAGAAAACTTTAATGATGGAGACAAGATAAAATAAGACCTCTGACATTATCAATTTGTAACCTGTTACTTTTGACCAAAATGACTCCGTGGTGCAGTCGCCAAGGTATCGGCTTAGGCGTCGGGGGTCGTGGGTTCGATTCCCACACGGGACAACTATTTGTGTGACCCACAGATAGTGGTTCTGCATCTGGGTGCTTGTCCGCGTGAAAATTATATTTGTAAAAATGTCCTTACATCACAGGATAATGTTATCCCAAAGCAAGGGCTATGTTTTCACCAAATACGCATCAAAATCCTTTTATTTAGGATTTTTAGTTTGTGAAATCACAAAGTACTTACTGCAGCTTCAACCAAGAAAGATGGCTTTAGCAGTCCGAAAACAAATTTTGAATCTCCCTTTTGTTAAGCTATATTGACCGTACTGGTCTTTTTACCGGGTGGTTTACCTTATCGTACGTATTCTAAATGTGCTACTCAACTGCTGAATACATTTTCACTGTCCTTTCAAATGGCAACCATATACACAGTTACTAACTTTAAACCTGAAGGAACCCGATTTAATACAGGGAAATTTCCATGTGTTTTTTGGTTATCGACACCGAGTCAACACATTCGACCACCCCAGTCGAACTGACATCCACGATCTTGTTCCCACCTTGTAAACACGTAGGGCACTTTCGATAAATGCACTGGGAAGTGTAAATTTTCACACAAAAACCGGGCAATTAACGATCGGCGGACGAAAACTCAACGGGTCTACCCCCCCGAGTCACAATTACCACAACATCACAGGGAGTTTCCCGATCGCTGTCAAAAGTGAGTGACTACTGACGTTAATGCCTAACAACTGATTATTACAAGTGCCACGACTGCAATTACAGTATTACAGAATTACGGAATTGCGAATCGTTACTACAAGCACTCCTCCAAATTGACATACATTATGTTGTTATTCATAAAATTATGTCTCTAAAATACTAACTCTTATTTTGATGGCAGAGAATTTTATTTTACACATTACATTTTCTGGATTAATTATTAAAATTTCTAATATATAAAACGGTCTATACTTGTCACGGTATTTGTAATTGAACTCCTCCAAAACGGCTCGACCGATTTTCGTGAAATTTTGAACTCCTCCGGACAACATCTATTTTTCATCCCCCTAAATGTTAAGGGTGGTCACCCCAAATATTTTTTTCTACCCTAAAAATTTCTTAGAAATAATTTATACGGCAAGACAACGTTTGTCAGGTCACCAAATGCTTCTATTAAATACTTCGACATATTTATACATTGACGTTTACATGTTACATTGTTCTACATTTATTTTACCATTATTTTTTCCACTTTTTATTCAGGAATGAAAAACGTACCAAGCTCTAAGCATCTACACACACCACTAAAGTGTGAACTGGGTAAGATCATATTTATTTCATAGGCGCAAATATAATTCGCTTTTTAATTCTATATGAACCCGGTCAACACGCTAACAATTTGGTACGATTAAACAAAAGTCTGTATAGTAATACTTAGTTCTTCATTCTTCTTCTTTTGACTTAGATCTAAACTGGCGGAGTCAACAATTTTTGCATAGGTCCAAAAAATAAAACGCTGATTTTCACCTTAGACGGTTACAGCACTAACAGATATCAAGAGCCTTGTATAATCGTATATCATTTCATTGCCATTGTATTTTCCTACTAACATTGAAATCTTAAAGGATTCATTTTAATTATTTACACTTTAGGCACACACTAATATAAAGGCGGACTTAATGCCAGTGGCATTTTCTACCAGTCATCCTTATGGTGGTGTAGAGAAAGTAAGGTAGGTGCACAGATACAACGTATAGAGCAATAAAATATTATTCATTCACTCGCTATTACCTCCTTTTTTAGGAATCTACCAAGCTCGCTGGGTACGAACATTAGTCGGGGAAAAAGTAAAATAATTTACGCTAACACGGCAAAAATGAACCAAAACGAATGCAGTGTGGGCGCGTAAACAATTTAAAAAAAAAACGTTCCCGCGCGAAGAGAAAATACTTCTGCAAGACCAAGCTTAAAATAGAGCTTGTTTAAAAAAAGATAGCAAAATTACAGTCGCGCTCGCGCCATAAATCTTTTTACATAGACAAGCAACATGGCCGCCTATTCTATATTGTCTCTGGTCTCATATGCATTTGCTTTGCTTATTGAGAAAAACATCATTATGCAATGAACACACTTCTCAAGCGTGAACAAAAATTATTTATTTACATGTAGGGAAATTTTAACTATATGTTCTTCTACTTTTTTTTACTGATATATTTAAAATCTTCGACAGACATATTCGGGACAATTAAAGATTCAATGAAATATAATAAAATAAAAGGTAGATATGTTTAAACTGCTAATGTTCAAAATAAAATAGTCGGTAGAAAATTAAACGAATGTAAAAGTCCGTAATAAAAAATGGAGCCTTGGGGAGGTATGTATTAATCACATAGTTCTCAGAACACTGCACTATAGAACTCGTTTACAGATGAAGAAGATTCTATTTTTGTAAGAAGCCTTTTTATAAAAAACAAAGGGATTGAAAATATCTAAGGAAACATATTAGACTTAATTCACGTTTATTATCGAAAGAAAGGAAACAGATTTTTATTTTACATTAGTTTAAGCTTTTTCTCATAGACTATAAAACGACTTATATTTCTCTTACCTCGATAGTTTCGCGTCTTTTCACCGCCCGGCCTTTTCCGAGGGCGTCATCGAAAATTCGTAATCTGGAAACAATACAAAGATAAAAGATTAAAGACTTCTTTCACGAAAAATTTTCATACTCGCTAACTTTGTGTTTAATTTTTATTCTAAAAATTGACAGCAATTCTAATATGACCTCAATCAGAGTTACAATAGAATAAAATTCGTATATAATGAAAGAGTCATTTGACATGCATACGAATTTTATTCTATTATAAAATCTAATTTCGTAAACAATATACTAATTGATGTCTATAGATACCGACGAACGACATTTAAGAGCTAAGCTTTCTTATCCAACATTGGATTAACAACATACAAACACAAAATTTCTCAAAACCCCAATTTGTTTAGGAAAATCCTCTAACTATTCTATTACATTATTATTAATAGTTCTTCTTGTGATTAAACACAAACTACCTTACACCATAGGTGTTGTACGTCATGAAACGTAACTAATCATTCCAATCGTTTATTCGTGTCATCATTTATTATTTCGATGGAAACACTAATTTATATTTGGGACGCAAAACGAATCGCGCGTTACAGGAAAACGCGGGGAGCGAGGGCGAAATTTCAATTCGAAACGCCCACTCGTAGCTTGGGAGTTCACGTTTAATGGACCTCTTTCTCGGGACCGCCAAGGTCCTGTCAATGTGACTTCTTTGACATTTGGCGGCCGGTTCCGACACAAATCTCAGTAAGCAAACAAAACGACCGTTCATGGAATTAGAACCCTAAGTTCATAGTCTTAGAGTTCAGAGTTTACAGCGTAATGGTGTTTTTAAAGCTAATAGTGATGACTGCCTCCGGACCCGTTTTATATTTTAACGTAACATAAAACTACAGGTGGGCGAAGTTTAGAAACAAAACAAATAAAATAATTTATTATAATGTAAGTGGGAGTAAATGGTATAATATCCAGAAAAAGGTTAACTTCGCTTATTTTTATTATTATTATTGAGTCTCGTTCGAACTTATCCTGCCCCATCGGGTGTTACAAGTTTTTTAAACCCTATTTGTAACGAAAACTTTATTTGAAAACGTGAAGATAAAAATATCGTAAAACTTTTCGCTGCTGCTATGAAATTTTTCCAGCTGTTGTTTACATAATAAAGTTTATCTTAAGTACAGAGACTAGTACTAAAAATTAAAAATAAAATTGGAAAACTTTATTCTTATGGGTCGCATGTTACCTTCGAAAACTCATTAACACGATCCAGAATTTAAGCGAAAAGGTCGATAAGGATCGAGATACCGCCTTTTGGAATAGACTACCAAAATAAATATAGAGTGATGCATATTAAGGCAGGAAACACAAGAGATAAACTTGCATTTAAGTTTTGCTGATAATAAAAAAGAAGTTATAATTTTCTTGAACTATGTGGAAGATAAAATGATTTTCAAAATATGTAAAGCTAAGGAAACCTCCGTGATTGCAGTTTATCAGGACAGTGCCGTGTAAGTTGACATTGAAAAAGACAGAAACTTTGCAATAATATATCAAAGTTTATTGTTAACAATACGAAAAGGAGCCTGATTGAAAAGCGAAATCGAGTAGCAATGCTTTGTTACAATCCGATCTGTCTCCTTACGTAAAAGAGGGACATACAATACAGCCAGCTTAACATAGCTAAACAAGGGATTTGAACTGTAACAATTTCCGCATTCCTTCGAGCACCTACGCAATATCTGTGACTAATAGCTTTAGTGGTAATAGCGAGATCAGCGTCGTCTACACGCTAACTCTCTTTACTACGAAGATTACGGCTTTGCTTCAGTATCAGGGTCCCCCGTACATCGTAAATCGTCACTTAACACCGTCATTAATGTATAATAAATTATATTTAAAAGCAATGTCTTGGCTAAGGTTGTAAGCTTTGATTCTCACAGAAATAAATTTATGCAAACAAATACTCATTTAAAGTGTAGTTCATTTAAATGCACTCAGACAGATTATTTGTTCACCCATAAAACTAACGTAACCCTTTACGGCGCCAGGTCATTATCGATATTAATTTTCAAAGAGTAGATAGCAAATGGGGATTTATTAGGGGAAAAATAATTAAAATAATCACATTGCAAAAAAACTGTTTATTTTTTAAAAAAAACTACGTGTTGCAGAAATACAACACTGCTTTATTAATGCTTAAAATGTTAAAAGAAGTTATGAAAAAGGATTTTTTTAAAACAGTTATTTGCGTTCTTATAGCAAATGCTTACTGCACATTTTTCGTAAACTGTTTGTGGTGACCCTGTACAGCTTGGAAATTTGAATGTCAAACTTTTATCCACCCTTTATGGTTAGTGCCCATATTGATCCAACCTCACATCTTTCGGAAGATCATGTTCAGCTAGACCTTTCTTCTTATCTTGAATGAGACATTCAGTATCACTTTTGCGCTTTATACTGTAGTTAACAGTCTTACGTTTCCATAAGGTATCCGCTATAGGTACTCTAAATTCAGCAGAGTTGAGAGTTTTCACTGGTACCACCCTTTGCAGCATTCATACTCAATGGCCCGATTTTATACATTCTTCTTCTAGTGCCTTACCAACTAGTGAAGTCTGACAGTCAACTCAGCGAATTTTTCCCGGTCTTTGGCGATGTTGCAAATCTCAGCGACACTTGAACTATTCTCGGCTATTGCGCATCCACAACTTCTTCCTATGTCTAGTAGTAGCTCTTCCTCCTGCCACCTTACCGATAGCGTATTTATTGGTTAGTTACGGCTTTATTTGCATCTTTCAGCTCATAAGCATAAATTAGTCTTGTGTTTTTATAAGCTTGATAATGTTGGCCGCATTTTTAATGCTAACAGATTAAAAATGCGACCAGCTAGTTAGCCGATTTGTTACTAAATTATTAGAATGCCTCGTTGCCGTACAACACAAAGTCGATTTATCGGGTTTTGATATTTTTTCTCAAATGCATTATAGATTTGTCTTAGCGAGAATTCTCATACTAATGAATTGCATTTTTTTATATTTAGTTTTTACTTATAATAAAAGTAAGGCCTTCAGATTATAAGATATATAAACGATGTTATAAACTTCAATTTGTTTGTAAATCTTTAGATTCTATTTCAGAAACCAGTAAGAATCTAACTTTTCCTACAGAAGACGTCGTTATTATACATCAGATAAAAAAAAGCCATTTGTATGCTCAATTCAAGGATTTCTTCGTAATTTATTCTTAGAAAACGTTCATATCTTTAAAAACTTGTATCTTAATTTTATACTGCTAGAGAGGAATGATTAACTTATTTATTGTATTTCTTGTTGTCTTCGTGGCAGTCTGTGGGGGAGGCCTATGTTCAGCAGTGGACTTTAACAGGCTGTAATGATGATGATGATTTCTTGTTGGTTTTGAAAACTATTCTATGTGAATAATATCAAATATATACAATACTGAGATAGTCTTAACAGAAAACGATATATTTCACTTCGCCCCCAACAAACTTTGTACGGATGTAGACATGATGTCTGTTTTAATTAATTTTAACAACATAAGAAAATGGAATCTTTAATATAATATCTTTAATATAGTATAAGTACAGTCGAAAAACAATTCTTCCGCCTATTGTCACTGTTACACGAAGTTGACGTTTTTCATTAACTTCTTATAATCATGTCAACAGATGAAATCACGGTTTTATGTAAAAATAAGGTAGGCCGAACTGACTATTAGTTAACATATTTTTTTGTTCATTGAAACGAGCCTTTGAATGAACTGATTGTGTACGATTAGCTCCCATTCAGTAGTATTAACATGCGGGTAATCTCTTTTTTTTTGATGAAGAGCGAAAAACAACAGAAATTGAAATAAAATCACCTCTTTCTAACTGCAACAGTTTCCATTTTTCGGTATAAAGGATTACGATTAGCAGATTCTTCACCTGCACCTTCAGAGTTATAGACGTGAATGTATATTTTAAAGCCTAATGCGCAACCCAAATAAACCGTTTATATTTATTATCCTGCTAACCCTAGGCGACGACAGGTCGCGTCGTGGCGTAAGAAAGGCTATAATGGGCCTATGTCGATGCAAACGGTAAACCACGGTCGTGCCGGGCGACGCACAATGCCCTGGCGGGCAGCGAACGTAATTGGCTAGACCAGTTCCGTTACGCCTACGACCCCGTGTGCCTAGTGCTGTGCGGTGCGGCTGCAGTTTGACAGCTGTCAGACTGCAGACACTAACAGAATCGATGTTTGGCCGATTTGACATTGACGGAACAGATCGGAATGCGCTCGTCGGATGCCAGGGGCGCGTGCGGCGGATTACAGCGGTTTTCGAACGCAAAGAAGTGGCGTGTTGTTTTGCCCTTTGCATATTATTTCTTGGATGTGGTATTATCGTGTCGAGTTACAATAGCCCCGTGGGTAATAAATGACTTGTATATTCCTACGCCCACAATCTACCACATGCGGTGTAAATGGAAACCAGATTGATGCCTGTCCAAATGACATCATAATTCATCCAATCATAGCGCATTCTCATTTAAACGACCATAACCAGTACTTATGACAGCTGGTAACACCAATATGGGGTACATGTAGTGCAATCCGTGAAGAATTTTTACCAGTAATTTTGTACTCTCATCCAGCCAGCAATTTTCAAGCTGGTAACGTATTCCTAACCTATTATATTCTTAATGAATCTCATTCCTTTAAACATTTATTTGTGTTTCTGGTGTTGCGGATTTTTATTTTATGACTGTGGTGTATCCGCAAATACAGGTGTATTTGCGGATCCAAATGAAGAGTATTTCATTACTTCCTTCATTTACAGAGCAGTGATAGCTTTTGTCCGGGCGCTCGCTTCTCATTCAATATACTCGAGAAACCTGACTGCAAACACCGGTGTCGGCACCAATGAAATTGTTAGTTGCAATTTTAAGCGCTGACTTATCACGTGCTCTGCGTTGAAGAAAGGAAACGTCGCGAAGAAACCTACACATTTTTCAAAATAATAATAAAATAAAATATTTCGAAGATATGTGAAGTCCGCCAATCCACCTGGGGTGGTCTGGAACTATGCCCTAGTACAGAGTAGGCCTTTGCCCAGCAGTGAGATATATATAAGCTGTTATTTGACTTCATTTTTTTTATTCATTTATTACTTTTGTGGTGTTACAAATGTCCAATAGCGATTATGATCATTTACCATCAGATAAAATTTTTTAAATAGATGTTTCTATAAAAATATATCAAAGTGTAATGTTAATACAATATCCTAAATCTCGAATTACTAAATTGATTAACATTCCCCGCATTGCACCAATTTATGCATAAGTCATTTAATTTTGTCTAATTATTTATGAGCATGAAGCGCCTAGTTGGATATTTTTAATGATTCCCTTAATGTTTTTTAAAAAGAAATTGTTTTCTCTATTAGCTTGTTCATTTTAGAATGTAAATTTACGAATCTGTAAGCATACTCGTCGTCTCGTGTTGGATTATATTTAATTTACTTAGTTAATATATAGCATAATTTAGCAGTAGTGTTAGCGTTGACTTCCTTTTTTTTTAAGGTTTATAAGTGTATTTAATTAATTTTCCATTGTCGTTTATACCTTATATATGCTTGAAATTTTAATGTTTTGAGGAAAAAAGATGACAAAAAGAAGATTCCTACCGAGTTTCTTTCGCCTGTTTCTTCTCAGTTAGAGGAACCTCATTACGAAAAGGTGGTAGATAAAAAAAATACTATAGATAGATGAAATGTATGTTTTTCAGTTCGATGAATAAATGATTTTGATTTTGATTTTGACCTGTAATACGTATATATGTAAGTATGGCCCTACGGCTAAGATAACATAAATTATTTATGCATTAAAATGATGGTGCACCTAATTAAAAAAAAAGAAATGGAGGTGATTTATTAGTTTTATTTTAGAGAGATGACTCAAGAGCAAGTGATTCAGCTGATTGTTAGAGATAAACTGTTGAAGCATATCTACAACAGGATTGACGTTACAGACGTTTTGCCGCCCTTTGACAGGGCGGGCTTAGATTAGTCCGCTAAGAACATTGAACATAAAATAATAAGGGCTATAGTATTTAAATAACACACAGCGGCACACTTCAGCACTGTGAAGGAGTTCAGTACTTCCCTGGCTACTACACTCATCAGAACATAGGCCTCATCCACAGACTGCCACGAAGCACGATCCTGAGCAATCTGCATCCACTGTCATCACAAGTTGCTTCCCGCAAACTTGAATAGGTCATCACTCCGTCTACTACACTAATCCTTACTAATATTATAAACGCGAAAGTTTGTATGTATGGATGGTTTCACGCAGATACTAGGGAATGGATTCTAATGAAACTTTACAATAATATAGCTTAAGACATGGGCTCTAATTTATATATATTTTTTATGTATATCTGATTTTCTGCTTAATGTTACACCTTCAGCCTATTCAACGCAGACGAAGTCGCGGGCAGCAGCTAGTGTAGTATAAATAACAAAACGTTACATTTATTATAGTTTACCAACTTTATTTATGCTTTCAAATAACATAAGTCCTAACCCGAATCCATAGCTATTTATTTAATCTAACGAACAAACGGTACGGAACCCTTTGTGCGCGAGCCCGAACCCCACTTGTATTTACTAATGCAGCTTACTAGCGATAAAGGATTCAAATATTTTTATTGCAGCTATTAGTTTTTTAATTTATACGGCTGCTTTAAAAGAAAGCAAGATTGAAGACAGTCAATGTTGAGATAATCACGTTGTCTCGTTTAGAAAAAGATCGAAAATTTGTTAACGTATAACGAATATGTATATTTTGCTTCGATAAAAGTCTTTTCTCATTACCAGTAATTCAGTAGCCGCAAGTCCAAAATGCCACAAATATGAGACAAAAACACTTAAAATTGACAATTTAATTGGTGCTGGCACCGGGGATCGAACTCAGGTTGCTCGAGTATATTAAATTAAAGGCGAGCGACCAGATACTGAGCTATCACGGCTCGAAATATCAAATAAAAGACAACACTAAAAACTTTTTATCGACCATAACCTTTAATTACTTTTCAACTTAAAATAATAACTACTACTGCCAAGTTGCAACACTACATCCTAACTGCCACCAACCCATCGATTAACTATAGAAAGTAAAGTTTAATTAAGGCTTTAAAAATGTTCAATCTCTATTCATTACCGAAAAGTGTACGTCGTTTGTAACAAGAGAGAATAAGCCATCACAATTACTGAACGCATCATCCGACACAAACGAAAGTGATATTGTCTGGCTTTATTTACCCGAGTTACATTTATTGCGATAATAAAAATATTCCCAGACAATCAACAATGGATGAGACAAGTTACGGACGCCGTGATAAAAAGCAGCCTTTCTCATAAGATTCTCTTTACTTCTAAGCGCCGTTCGTCGTATATCATCGTTCGTCGACTTTCTAAGAACGTTTTCCAACGATGAACGGATAGCGGGCACGAAGTAAAAGTGTACGATTTGTTTGTTACGTGTCTTCGC